TGGTGGTACAGAGCCCGATGTAGGGCTTGAACTCACAAGCTGTGAGATCATGACCTGAGCCGAGATCAAGAGTCAGACGCTTAATGGACTGAGCCACCAGGGGCCCCATCCAATATAGTTCTTTTAAAAGAAATCCAGTAAAAAAACTTTACAGTTACCTCTTGTTGTAGGTATGTAAGGAAGGCTGCTAGAACAAAATTTTGGCAAGCCAAATCCACAACACAGAAGAACAGCACATCAAAAATAAGAAGAGTGGCTTCATTTCCATAATACAGGACACTGCTGAAAGAATATCCTTCATCTATTTAAAAAAAAAAAAAAAAAGCAATTTATAAGATATAAATTAGAAACTGCAAAATGGAATAAATTTCTGGTGATAAAGTTTGGATATTTAAAAACAGCACAATAGAAACTAGCTACTACTTGTAATACTTCATTGCTTTAAAAAAATAAACAAACGGTATTAAAATTAAAAATTGCTAATCTCAAAGATTAGTCAAGGAATTCTGCTCATAAAAAGCAATTTTAACATTTGTACCAAGGGTTGGTCATTGCTTGTAATATAAGTGTATCGTCAATACCTCTCAAAGACCAGGTAATTAATATCCCTTATTTGTTTATATAACTAAAGCCCAAAGAATCTTAGATTCTTCAAGATAGAGGGAGTTAAAAAAAAAACCAAACCAAACCAGCAAGGACTGAATAGTGCATAGTGAGCTATAATTTGCGTCTTTTTTTTTTTTTTTCAACGTTTATTCATTTTTGGGACAGAGAGAGACAGAGCATGAACGGGCGAGGGGCAGAGAGAGAGGGAGACACAGAATCGGAAACAGGCTCCAGGCTCTGAGCCATCAGCCCAGAGCCCGACGCGGGGCTCGAACTCACGGACCGCGAGATCGTGACCTGGCTGAAGTCGGACGCTTAACCGACTGCGCCACCCAGGCGCCCCTAATTTGCGTCTTAAATAGGTTGCGTCTTAAATAGAGCAGAACTCTAAGGTTCTGCTCTAAGACCTCTCTCTCTTTTTTTTTTCTTCCCCTCACTCCACAAGGAAGGGTTTGTTCTTTTTGGGACGTAAACACCCTTTTAAGATTCTGATGAAAGCTACAGACCCTTTCACCAGAGTGGGAAGAAAGTACATATATACAAATCTGGCACATAATTTCAGGGAGGTCCGGGGAACCAGCAAAGCTGTTCATGGATATCCAGTTAGGAACTCTGTTTGATACAAGGGGATGCCTGGCTTGCTGGTAATGTTCTTTTTTGATCAGGGTGCTAGTTAAGGGATATATTCAGTTTGTGAAAATTCACTCCCCTTTATTCTATATCCTTACAAAATATGGACTTCTGTATACATATTATACTTGCATATATATTTAAACAAATAAACAAGCCTGCTCTGTATGCTCTTCCCGGGTGTTCTTTCACTGACATCGCTCCAGCAATGCCCTCCTTTGATGAGACTCCCGGCTATTGTGTGCCTTTCCTTTCTCCTGAGATCCAGTTCATTACATTTAATACCTCACTGGACATTTCCTCTTAGTTGTCCAGAAAGTACCTCAAGATACAACATATTCAAAACTAAATTTAGGGGCACCTGGGTGGCTCAGTCAATTAAGCGTCTGACTTCGGCTCAGGTCATGATCTCACAGTTCGTGAGTTCAAGCCCTGCGTCGGGCTCTGTGCTGACAGCTTGGAGTCTGGAGCCTGCTTCGGATTCCATGTCTCCCTCTCTCTCTGCCCTCCCCCACTTGCACTCTCTTTCTCAAAAATAAACATTAAAAAAAATTTAAAAGAAAACCTAAATTCATCTTCTTTCCCTCCATCTGCATTCTTTTAGTGAAAAGCATCACCACCAACCACTTAGTCATACAAGCTGGAAATCTGGATAATTTTTTACTACTCTCTCTCCTCTACCTGTTTTTTTCCTCTTAATATCTCTGACAATCCTTTCTTCTTCTTTATCCCCATCATTACTGCTGTAGCTCATATTCTCATCATCTCCCAGTGAAGATGAAGATGAAGATGACTGTATTGTTATTACAAATAGTAACATGACTACACTGGGAGCCATCCCATACCAGGCACTGATGCCTACCAGGCTTTTCACACATGATAACACAGGTATAAATACAACCTTAACACACTTTACTATTGCCAGAGTAGTAGAAATCTACCATCAGATTTGCTTAACACTTTTTGATGGCGCCCATGTTCCTTAGCAGTGGTTTCCAAATTGTTTTAATCATGGATCCCTATCAGAACAAAGTGTTAAGCATGCATTCCACAATAGGTATATTTTATTAAATACTACTATATATTATAAATTCTTTAAAATACAAATTAAAAATGACTGAATCGCAAATATACAAATGGACATTTTAATGTTTTTTATCATACCTTCACGAATCAACCACATCTCTTGTGAGACAAACATTGAAAAGATGTATATATATATATTTTGGAAACAACTGCTCTATAGGATAAAGTAAAACTCAGGATGTCAGACAAGGATTTTGGGATTTGATCATCACCCTCTTTATCTTTCATGTACTCCTACGATGTCCCACTTCATACCAGGCTTCACCAATAAAATTCGTAAGTACTGAATGCCCTTTCCCCCTTCTGTACAAATGTCTTTGCCTCTCTTCCCCTGACATTCCTGTTTGACAATAGTAACTTTTTTTGTTTAAGATGCAATTCAAACTTTTCCATGTTGCTTCTTCTGGCTCAACTCCATGTCTGGTTAGATATTCCACTATCCTTTCTGTACTTGGTATATCCTGTGCCTGCAGAGCCTTCCATCCCAGCATCGCCCCACTCATACATTTGAGATGCCCACTAGTCTGTGTATCTGTGTATCCTGGGACTGGCACAACACATAATGCCCAATACTGCCTGAATAAGTGACATCTAGGCCAGGACACAGGTTACATCATTTCCATTCTAATGAACCCATATAAGAGGTTATCAGCCACATTAAAAGTGACATATATACCACATTTTTAAGATAAGAAACCAGGTTTAGGCACCATTCCTGTCACAGATAGCTGTGATTTTTAAGAATTTGGATAAAATAAAAAATTAAAACTAATCACGAATGTTATTCTTTAAGTGTTTCATTAGTTTTCCACTAACTGCAGATTCTCATAAAATCTGAATTTTATGTTCACTCTTGCCACTTTTATTCAACATAGCACTGGAAGTGCTAGAGTAATCAGGCAAGAAAAAGAAATAAAGGGCATCTAAACTGGGTAAGGAAGAAATTAAACGGTCACTATTTGCAGATGACATGATACAACACCCTAAAGCCTCCAATCAAAAACTCTCATAAGTAATAAATGGATTCAGTAAAGTTGTAGGATACAAAATTAATGCCTAGGGGCGCCTGGGTGGCGCAGTCGGTTAAGCGTCCGACTTCAGCCAGGTCACGATCTCGCGGTCTGTGAGTTCGAGCCCCGCGTCAGGCTCTGGGCTGATGGCTCGGAGCCTGGAGCCTGTTTCCGATTCTGTGTCTCCCTCTCTCTCTGCCCCTCCCCCGTTCATGCTCTGTCTCTCTCTGTCCCCAAAATAAATAAACGTTGAAAAAAAAAATTAAAAAAAAAAAAAATTAATGCCTAGAAATCCTCTATACACTAATAATGAAGTAGCAGAAAGGGAAATTAAGAAAACAATCCCATTTACAATTGCACCCAAAATAATAAAATACCTAGGAATAAATAACCAAGGAGGTTATCTGTACTCTGAAAACTATAAAACACTGATGAAAGAAATTAAAGACACCACACACAAATGGAAAGATATTTCATGTTCATGGGTTGGAAGAATTAATATGGTTAAAATGTTCACACTACCCAAAGCAACCTAAAGGTTCAATGCAATTCCTAACAAATTACTAACAGCATTTTCACAGATCTGGAACAAATAATACTAAAATTTATATGGAAACACAAATAGCCAAAGCAATCCTGAGAAAGAAAAAAACAAAGCTGGAGGTAGCACAGTTCCAGATTTCAAGATATATTACAAAGCTGTTGTAACCAAAACAGTATGGTACTGGCACAAAAACAAGACACATAGATCAACATAACAGAATAGAGAGCCCAGAAATAAACCCATGCCTATATGGTCAATTGTTCTATGACAGAGAAGGCAAGAATATACAATGAGGAAAAGACAATCTCTCCAATAAATGGCGCTGGGAAAACTGGACAGCTACATGCAAAGAAAGAATAGAACTGGACCACTTTCTTACACCATACACAAAAATAAAAACTCAAATGTATCAAAGACCTAAATGTGAGACATGAAACCACAGAACTCCTAGACATAGACAGTGATTTCTTTGACATTGACCATGGCAAATTAAAAAAATTTTTTAAATGTTTTATTTATTTTTGAGACAGAGAGAAACAGAGCATGAGCAAGGGAGGGGCAGAGAGAGAGGGAGACAGAATCTGAAGCAGGCTCCAGGCTCTGAGCTGTCAGCACAGAGCCCGACGCGGGGCTCGAACTCACAAACCATGAGACCATGACCTGAACCAAAGTTGGATGCTTAACCAACTGAGCCACCCAGGCACCCCTGACCATGGCAAAATTTTTAAGGAGACATATATATGTCTCCTCAGGTAAGAGAAATAAAGGCAAACATAAACTATTGGGACTACATCAAAATAAAAAAGCTTTACACAGTGAAGGAAACAATCAACAACATAAAAAAACAACCTACTGAATGGGAGAAGATATTTGCAAATGACATACCTGAAAAGAGGTTAATACCCAAAATACATAAAAACTTAACTCAATACTTAAAAAAAAAAAAAAAAATCCCATTTAAAAATGGGAAGAGGACCTGAAAGACATTTTCCCAAAAAAGACATACAGATGGCCAACAGACACATGAAACGAAGCCCAACGTCACTAATCATCAGGAAAATGCAAATCAAAACCACAACGAAAACCTTACACCTGTCTGAATGGCTAAAATTAAAAAGACAAGAAATAAGAAGTGTTGATGAGGATGTGGAGAAAAGGGAACTCTTGCGCATTGTTGGTGGGAATGTAAATTGGTACAGCTACTGTGGAAAACAGCATGGAGGTTCCTCAAAATATTAAAAATAGAAATGTCATATGATGCAATAATTCCACTACTGGTCATTTACCCAAAGAAAACAGAAACACTAATTTGGAAATATAGATGTACCCCTATGTTTATTGCAGCATTATTTACGATGACCAAGATATCAAAGCAGCCCAAGCATCCATTCACAGATGAATGGATAAAGAATACATAAATAAATATATATATTCACACACACAGTGGAATATTAGCCATAAAAAATGGAATGAGATCTTGCCATTTGCAACATGGATGGATGTAGAGAGAGTTATGCTAAGTGAAGTAAGCCAGACAGAAAAAGATAAATACCACATGATTTCATTTATATGTGTAATCTAAAAAACAAAACAAATGAACAAAAAGCAGAATCTGATGGTCGGCAGGGGTAAGGTGGAGGGGAGGACACATGGGTGGAGGAGGTGGGAGACACAGGCTTCTAGTTATAGAATGAATAAGTCACAGGAATAAAAGATACAGCATAAGGAATATAGTCAATGGTATTATAACAGCATTGCATAGTGACAGATGGTAGCTACACTTGTGAGCATAACACAACATACAGATTTGTTGAATCACTATGTTGTATACCTGAAACTAATGTAACATCATGTCAGTTATACTCAAATTTAAAAAACCTGAATTTTATGTGTTTTACTATCTCTTTCATGTCTACCACTGATTTTGAAATTCAGTTTTTTTACTTTCTTACAGAATAATGGTCTTTTTTTGTATCACACACACACACACACACACACACACACACACACACACACACACACACACACACGTGTGTGTGTGTGTGTGTGTGTATTTAAGTAGGCTTCACATCCAGCACAGAGCCCAGTGCAGGGCTTGAACTCACGACCCTGAGATCAAGACCTGAGCTGAGATGAAGAGTTGGACACTCAACTGACTGAGCCACCCAGGCGCCCCTTTTATACTTTTGTTTCCTGCTATATGACATAATAAAATGGAACCTAGCAAACTACTATAATACTGTTAAGTTAATTAAGTTCATTACCTTTCCTTTGTTTTTATATAAAATTATAAAAGCAAAACAAGTAACTACAAGTACTTTTTTTTCAAACTTTGAAAATAGTAATCAAGTTTAGCAAAGGCATTTGAAGGATACCATTGTAAAAGATGCTTTTTTCCATTGGTTCCATGAATTCCATTCCAAGAATTCTTTCAAGAAGCAATTTATCTTTTATAAAGTAGTCCATTTCCTTATGAACCTAATATAAAAAGACAAAGTTATTTCAAAAACAGCAGTGAAATGTTTCCAAATTAATGTAAAATCAGGAAGAGAGAAAATGAAAAATGAATAGTAAGGAAAATATGTTCTTTAAAAAGATGGATTTTACTACACTGGGCTTTGTAACAAAGTTTTTCTTTAGAAATGTTAAAAATTTTAAATGTCGTTAGTAGTATTTAGGGCTAGATATACTTAAAATCAACTTATAACAAGCTTTTCAGGAATACAACCACAGCATATCTCTGTAATAAATAATATAGTAATACTTCAGTAACTAGCTGACACAATTGCAGTGTAGACATACTTCAAGGGAATTATCATTATGCTAGTAGAGATATAAAATGTCATTTTATTTTTATATAACGTAACTCTGTCTTTAAGCCACAGTATTAATTTTGACAGGCAAAAAAAGAAGGGTTCTAAATCCACTGACTTAGTTAACTAAAGAAATCACTGACATTCCTGGTTAACTTCTTAAGAATTGTATTTTGCTTCTAGTTTAAATATAAATGCTGACATACATACATGATCGATGAAAGAGCCAAGAAATTTATTCATAGTATGATATGCTTTTATACTCTGCTCAAATGTACTTGCCGATGAACTCAGTAGTCTGGCAGGGCCATTTTTCTAATGTGAAAGAGACAAAAATAAATGCAACACGTCTTACGTTCCTGGTTTTTAAGTAACATGAAATATTGGCAAAATATACCTGAATTGTAATTTATACAAACCCTTGTTAGTGTCTCATGAATTCTGTCATAGTGTTGTCTCATCTGGCTGGAAATTGCAATCTGAAAAGTCTGACCGTCTGTGTTTGGTACCAAACCTCTCTGGCTACACAAGTTTTCCTGAAAAGTTAAAAGATTTAAATAAAGATCATAAAAATTTTGCCTTATCTCAAAAAGAAAATACACAAATTTTTTTTTAAAAAAAGTTTATTTATTTTTGAGAGACAGAGTGTGAGCTGGGGGAGGACCAGAGAGAGAGGGAGACAGAATCTGAAGCAGGCTCCAGGCTTTAGGCTCCGAGCTGCCAGCACAGAGCCTGACACAGAGCTCAAACTCACGAACCGCAAGATCATGACCTGAGCCAAAGGTGGACACTTAACTGACTGAGGCACCCCTAAAACTTTTCTTTTTGTTGGTATCACACATTACAAGATTTGGAAGCCAACTGAAATTTTACTGAAACTATATTTGAGACAAAAGGGATTCTGACATTATCCGAGGTTCCCACTCCCCTCCGGGTTTTACTAATTTCTTTGTTGTCATGCCTTTCAGCTCTCTGTATCATCTCCTTTACACTACTTTAAAAAAAATCCATACTAAATTCATTATATATTGATATTTGCTTTATGATTAATTTTATTGCTCTTTAAATGCATGCCAAAATGTCTAGTCTTAGATTAACTACTTTCATAATTAAAATCTTTTTTGTTTCCTAAAAACTTTTAAAACACTTCCTTAATTAAATGCAATAAAAAGGTAGTGATACATGATTGAACGGTTAATGCCATGGACCAGATATCCATTTCAGGTCTCCTTGACACAGCCTGAATCCTGACAACCATAAACATGTGAAATTTTGCCCTACCCCACCCCTAGCTACTTCCCATCGATGCTTCAAGGTCACCTCAAGTCCTTCTGCTTCCCTTCTCTTGCTTTATTTGCCTATTCCAGAGTTTAATAATCTTCTTGTCTAAATTTAATCTTCAAACATAACACTTGTTTTTCAGACTGAAAGGAAGTCTACATGTAGTGAATTTCTCTATTAAAAAACATTTCTTTTTTCCTGATTAAAAAAGCACATGCTATTGCAGAGAATTTATAAAATATGGAGTAGTATAAAAAAGAAAGAAAAGAAAAAAAATCACCTATGATCTCAACATTCAGAGATAGAAGTTTTGAAGGTATTTCATTTCCAGTCCTTTGTCCAGGGATATATATATAGATGGCATAAAATTGGGATCACACTGATTTCTTTTTATCTATGTCATTAAATATTCTATAAAACAAGATTTTTAATGTCTACCTAAGATTTCACTGTGTAGGAAGACCAATTGATTTAATATATTCTTATTTTTATGTATGCTTTTGGCCTTATAAATAGTCCCTGTGATAAAGACCCTCAACCTAATTAGCTATTCACATTGCTAATTATTTCCTTGAATTAGATTTACAGAATCAGTGAGTAAAAGATAATCAACTCTTAAAAAAAACTCTTGGTATATTTATTTCCAAATGCTTTCCAGAAGATTTGTAAAAATTTATTCTTAGACCAGGAGTTTTACGGGTGCCCATTTCATCATGTCCTTGGTACTATTAAGTATTAGCTTTTTAAAAAGAGTTTGCTAATTTGAAGAGGGCAAAAATATTAGTTTTTTACATTTATTTATGAGCTATACATTTTTAAGAGGTTTATTAGTCTCCTGTTCATTTATGTATTTAAAAATTGTCATTTTTCCATTGAGGTTTTAACTGTTCGCCTATTGATCTTTATGACTTTCAATATTGCTATCAATATCTTTGTAATATTTGCTATGAGAATTTTATCCTTATTTGCTATGTCTTTTATTTATATGATCGTTGGCTAGGTAAATATTCTCCATTAATTAATAAAGTAAAATCAATGAATATTCCGTTTATGATGCTTTCTAATTATTTTTTTTTTAATGTTTACTTTCTAGTGTAAACAGGGGAGGGGCAGAGAGAGAGAGGGCACAGAGGATCTCAAGCAGGCTCTGTGCTGACAGCAGAGAGCCTGACGTGGGGCTGGAGACGAGGGGCTGTGAGATGATGACCTGAGCTGAAGTCTGACACTCAACGGACTAAGCCACTCAGGTGCCCCTGATGTTTTCTATTCTTTTTGCTTAGAATGTCATCTCCCAATCTCAGATATTCTTTTTTTTTACATTTAACTTTTCAATCAGGTGTTAATTTCTAATAGTTAACCAACCAGTTCATGTACTAAATAAATTGTTCTCTGAGACGTGCTATAATCATGTACTAGATTCGTACAAGTCACAGGTCCTTTAGTCAAAAAATCCTTTTAATTTTTCTTCTTAAGTATTTATTTTTCTTTTTAATTTTATTAAGGAAGTGGTCTAATGTACACAGTACAGAGAACAAACAGTAAACCATCCATCACCCAACCCCAAATCTGTAAATACTTCTGTATGTATCTATAACTAATAAGGTCTTAAAAAACAAACCACCATGCCATTTGCACATGTAATAAAATGAATCATTCCTTAATATAATTTAATATTTAGTCCTTAAATCTCCTAATTTTTCCCAAGGACTTTTTTTTTTATAGTTGGTTTGTTTGGATCAGGATCCAAAGTCTATACACTGTACTTGATTATTTTGTTTCTAAATCTCTTCCTATGTAACAGTTCTCACACCGTCCACCCCACTTCTTTACATGCTCTTGATTTGCTGGAGACACTGGGTCATCTACCTTGTGAGCTATCCTGCATTCTACATATGGCTAATTCCTTCCTATGGTATTATTTAATTTATCCCTCTAGCTCCTCTAATTCCTGTAAACTGGCGGTTAGATCTAGAGGCTTGATTGTATTTAGACTTGATTTTCTTAAGCAAGGATATTTTATGAGTGATACTATGTACTTCCTACTGCATCATAACAGGAAGTGCATAATGTTCGTTTTCCTAATTTTTACTTGTAGTAAGATTGAGCCAGTGTGCTCAGATTGTGTCGACCTGATTCCTTGTTTTAAAGCTCCCTGTCAATTTACCCTTAACTGTTTTAGCATCCACTGATGATTGTAACCTATATGCATTAATCCATCAGTCATTATAAAATGGTGATTTTCTAAGGTAGAATTTCTTTTAGTTTCTTTTTATAAGGAAGAACTTTCCCTCATGAATTCTTCGGTTACTCTGAAATACAGTTCATATAAGGAACTGTAAGATGAAATTTGATTCTTTCCCTTTATTAATGTTCAGGGTAATGAATCAGTGCCCCAGCAACTTTCAAAAGTAATCAATGAGGAATTTTTAAAAATATTATTACAAATCCTAGATTAAGAAAAGAGAACCCATGTCTCAAATTAAAAAGATGTTAAAGGGGCGCCTGGGTGGCTCAGTCGGTTAAGCGGCCGACTTCGGCTCCGGTCGTGATCTCGCGGTCTGTGAGTTCGAGCCCCGCGTCGGGCTCTGTGCGGGCTCTGTGCTAACAGCTCAGAGCCTGGAGCCTGTTTCGGATTCTGTGTCTCCCTCCCTCTGGCCCTCCCCCTCTCATGCTCTGTCTCTCTCTGTCTCAAAAATAAATAAATGTTACAAAAAATTAAAAAAAAAAAAAAGATGTTAAATACTTTCATACCGCTTCTCTTTTAAGATTCATATTCATTTCTTCCATATTAGTATCTGCATGCCCATGTACTGATCTACCATGAATGTAATATCCAAAACATTTGTGGGATAACAGAAACACTGATATCTATAAAAAAAGAAGAGAGGAACTATTAGCAGCTCATCGAGAAAACAATGAAAAGTAAGTTTTTCTTAAAACTGCTTTCTTTCTCTCAAAATAAAGAGGGTTGAATTCTTGGAAAATATACAAACAGGACAATAAAGTAATAAAGGATAATTAAGTAATTTTTTTTAAAGAACACAGAAATGAGATTGAAGATATTTTCCAAGAAAGGAAGAAATAGGATTGATATATGAAAACTTTTCAGGGACTCTGCTGAGTGAATTATTTGGTAGCATAAGGAATTCATAATTAAGAAACTGCACATGAAGAAGAAGAAACTAAGGCAGTAAACATTAGCTTGTAGCTCATTATAACTATCTCCGGAATTAACAATCAGTGGGAAATTGGACTAAAAAATCCAATCATACCAAATCACTTTTAAAGCCTCTCTTAATGTACTCATGACCTTTAAAAAGGGAAAAATAACAGTCGCAAGATAAAGTTAGAAAGTACTTACATTGCTCATACAGCATAAATCCACAAACTGTCGAATTTTATCTTCTATAAATCTCTCATAAAAGACAGCAAAGAACATGATCTGAAACATTAAGCCAAGTTCATACTTATTAGGTTTTAAAATTTAATTTTCTTTTATAGCCACAGTATAGTATCTTAAGAAAAAAGAAGGTCCACCCAAGAACACAGTGGCCTCTGAATGGTTCCTGTGGGATACAATCCTACTTATCATTTCTGATTCTTCTGTCAAAGAAAGTAGGTTTTGGAATTGTATTAAGATTCATTGAGGGAGCCTATTTTGCATTTTAAAAACTTTTCTGTATCATTAAAACAAGACAGGACAAACATGGGAGGAAAAAGAAGGGCTTTAAAAAATTTAGCATAAACCAATGTATTAGTGGCCAGATTTATGTTTGGTTCTGCAATCCTGCTCATCTCCTAAGTTCCAAAGCCATTAGAAAACATGCTGCTTTTCAAATTAATCTTCCCTGACAGAGTAGCACATAAAAAACATATATCAAGTATTCTATTTCAACTGCAGATACTGCATTAAATATTCAAATGGAATGGTTTCAACTGTTTTCTTAGCTTTAATAACAATACTGGAAAAGGAAATTATTTTATAAATCAAAAGAGAAAAGTTTATGTCGTAGACCTACTTAGATATATGTCAGAGAAAGAGAACATTTCCTAACCACCCAGTTGAAAGCTGCCCTCGTTCCTAACTTCCACCCACCTCTCCTCCACTTACTCCCTATCTCATCTCCTGATGCCCTTCACAGCATTTGCCACAATCTGTAGCTTGTTCTTGTTAAGCATATCCTTGAGCCCAGCACAGAGCCTAGTACAGAAATGTACTCAGATATGTGAATGAATAAATAAATGAATCTACAGCAGCTGATTACTGAACATACTTCCCTAACATTCTATATACGTCTTGTTTTAACTCCCTTTAAAGGACTTGAAAAACAGCAACTTTCAAAGTTTAAAAACTAAAGGATACCACTTAAAAGTTGAAGAAGCTGGGTTTAGGGAAATACAAGGAGTAAATAATAAGCTTAACGTTATGAGAATCAAAAACACTTTTTATGAACAAATTTGTGGAACAGTAACAGGTTTTTAAAGGGACTCTTAACAATACTTGAGGAATAAACACTGATAACCCACGGAGAGAAACACTCCTACCAAAATGAAAGCAGAGTGAGAAACAAAGAATGAGATGAGATGGTGGTGCCTGAGATGACTAGTTTCTGCCCCACCAATCCTTTCTGCTTTCTCCTTAGTGACAGAACCCTCTTTGGAGCGGGCACACTGCTGCCCAGCTGAAAGACACCAGTGCAGGAAGGTGTGGCCATCTGCCTAAGTTCTGGCCAAGGAAATGCTGAACAGCACTTCTGGAAAGTCTCTTAGAGAAGAGAGGGTGAGCTGTTCCCCCTCACTCCTTCCACAAGGTGACCTTAGAGAGGGAAGTTCTGAGTGGCAGAGCTTCTGGGTCCGGGCGGCAGCATGGAGCCGCCCTGCATTGCACATCTCCATTCTTCTTTCTCATGATACAGGTCACTTTTACTTCAGCCATTGCTATTTTGGTTTTTTGTTGTTGTTGTACTTAACCAAATATGAAAAGGTTCAGATGGTATTCCTTTAAATTCTTTACATCCAGATGAATCCAATCTACTCAGAAAAATGTATACTTATATATCTTTAAAATGACTTTTCTCCCTATTATATTGATGATAAATATCAAACCCCATTCTCTTTTGATCCTACCTCATTTCAAATTCTAATGTGTTTGGTTTTCTTTTCTTGTTTTTAGTGTTTATTTATATTTTGAGAGAGAGGGAACAGAGCATGAGTTGGGGAGGGGCAGAGAGAGAGGGAAACAGAATTGGAAGCAGGCTTCAGGCTTTGAGCTGTCAGCACAGAGCCTGATGTGGGGCTTGAACCCACAAACTATGAGGTCAGGACCTGAGCCAAAATTGGATGTCCAACCGACTGAGCCACCCAGGCGCCCCTGACTTTCTTTTCTGATTATTAAGCCATCTCTCACTGGATCTATCCCTGTAGCTTCTAGTTTAAACAAGTCTCACCAATTTAAGATAAATGTAAATTTTCAGAGTCTATTCTCAGGTTACAGAATGCCACTTGGATCCAATTCTATAGGAATTTTTGGATTTTAATCCCAAACCATGATTTAAAAATAGCCTGTTTTGCCAGGCTGGAGAAAGTTTAACGCGGTGTGTCTAAAGGTCCCATGTTCATTTGCTGACTTAAAGAAATTTTTAATCAAACAGAAAGGTTCTTTTCATTCATGGGAGTGTCTAGAAGCAAGAGAAAGAAGTGCAGATATTGGAGTCAGGTGCTTTAGTTCATGCTGCTTTCTCTTCTTCCTTTCATCTTTTTT